AACTCAGGCTGGTTGGGATGAGAGTAGCACATAAGGCATGGTGCACAGGTATGGCTGAAGAGATTACTGGGGGCTACTGGGAACAGGCCTTCAATCCCAGTGAAGACGCCTGGACTTGACTCATCAGCTATGGGTGGTTTTTAGTTTGACATAAAGTAACCCTGTTCCACTGAGTCCTAGTTAGAAGGAAACCCCAAGTGGAAGGGAACCCTGACCTGATATAGCTTGCTGTGGCCTGGGGACCCACAACTCTTGAGGTCAGGGCACTATAAAAAGGAGGGGGCCCTCAAATGACCACTTCCTGCTGACTGTCTCAGCAAGCAGAGGACTGTTTGTAGTAAGTTCCCAGGTGATTCTACTGTTTGTGGTTTGAGGGCTGACTCAAAGGTTAGGTTCATATACTCTATTATAAGCTTGTGTCTTACCTTGCTTTCTTTGAAGAACAAAATCGACAGAAATGGCTTCATTTCCCCATCCTTTCCCATCCACTCAGTGCCACTTACTCACATGACCACCAGCAGGGAATGAAAAGGCGCCTCTTTCATAAGCACACACAGTTGAGCTCTGGCCCAGCGTCATTGTCACTGGAGTGAGGACAGTGGCAGTTAGTGAGGGGCAGTGGCACCAGGCTCTGAAGACTCAAGGGGCAGAGGAGAGAGGGAGCTCGCCTTTCCCACCTGCCCCCATTTCTGTGGCCTTGGGACTCCCTTGTGGCTTGTGTATGTGATAGCTCAGCTAACTGAAGCTTTAGTTCAACCAGTCTTTGTGGAAAAATGCAGAAACCAGATTCTGGGGCTGCAGCCCAATCTGGACCCTTCCCTTCCCCAAAGGAACTTAAATGAAAGAGAATTGGGCATTTGCAGGTAGTTTGAACATTTTATTTTGTGAAAGACATTTTAATATTGTCAAATGTCTCCCTGCAAATTTATTGTGGTCATCCCTTGGTATCCAAGGGGCACTGGTTCCAAGACCCTGACAGATACCAAAATCTGCAGATGCGCAAGTTTATTATATGAAATGCCATAGCATTTGCATATACATTTCCCATATACTTTAAATCACCTCTGTGTTACTTATATGCCCAGTGCAATTGATAGGCTATGTAAATAGGCCATATTGCTTAAAGAATAAGAAGAAGGCTGGAGAGATGGTTCAGTGGTTAAGAGCACTGACTGCTCTTGCAGAAGACCCAGATTCAAATCCCAACACCCGCATGGTGGCTAACAACCATCAGTAACTCCAGTTCCAGGGGATCTGATGCCCTCTCTGTCCTCCAAAGGCACTGCACCATGCAAGTGCACTTACATACACGAAGGCATGACACTCATACACATAAAGTAAAAATAAATAATGATAAGGAAAAATTGTTAGTATAAATTTTTTAAAGACAGGGTCTCATGTAGCTCAGGCTAGTCTCCAACGTACCATATAGCTAAGGATGACCTTGAACTTCTGATCTTCCTGCCTTCACATCCCCAGTGCTAGAATTATAGGCTTGCTGCCACATCCAGTTCATGGGGTGCTAGAATTGAACCCAGGGCTTTTCACATGCTAAGCAAGCACTCTACCAACTGAGTTACAGAGCCATTCCAATTAGAAAAATGTTCCTACATGCAAAAAATGCTTTATTAATACAGCATATACAAACTAAGGAAAAATAAGTTAAAGATCTACATTGTCACAGACATGGCAGTTGAGCATCAAGGGTTAAGTAGATGCTTGAAAGAGGTTGGGGCAGATTAGATTCCCACTGTGGAAGACTCATATACCAAGTGGGGGCGTCCAGATACAGCAGCTTTTCAAATCTCTCACTGAGGATCGTGAGAGGCGCTGCATTCAGGGGGCAGTGTACAATTTGGTGCTCTTCAGGTAGTTCAAAACTCTCAAAATCTAGAGGATAGAAGAGAAAGAACTTTTCTATTTCTGAATAGGTGTCATCAGAAGCAGAAGAGAGCTTTGTGCTTTAACAGTCTCCCCAGTGATCTTCATACAGGGGAAGCCAGTTGCTCTGAGGGTGTCTGTGAGTCTTCAGTAGCTTTTCTGTTGCTCTGTTAACAGCTTTCTGTCATATTTAGGTTAGTCTGGTGGAACATTGACCATTTTGCCTGTGATTTCCCATCTAAGGCCTTGACAATGGACCCAGCTTCAGCCCACCCTTACAGACTACACGAGTACTTCCTTCTCTATTATGTTTGTCAACAAAGACCAGTGTAGCCTTTCTGGATCTCCAAGATTCCACCCCCAAATAAAATAAAATAAAATAAATACTTTCAGTCTATGGCTGCTGAATCTACAGATGCAGATCTCTTGGATAATGGGGGTTAACTGTGCATGTCTGTCATGGAAAAGAGACACAGGAAATCAAAGTGCCCTACAGTCTGATTCCAAGACAGCCATCTTCCAAAACTTAACTGTGCTGGGGTCTACTCCTGGGCATGGACATTCATGGATGGGCACTGTTCTAGTTTGCTTCTCTATTGCTGCAATAAAACACTGGCCAAAAACAACTAGTTTTATGGAAACAGTTTATTTCAGCTTACAACTCCCAGGCTGCAATCCGTCACTGAAGGAAGTCAGGGCAGGAACTCAAGGCAGGAGCTTGAAGCAGAAACCAATGGAGGAATGCTGCTTACTGGCTTGCTTCTCCTGGCCTGCTCAACTATCCTTCTTATACAGCCCAGGCCCAATGCCTAGGGATGGCACCACCCACAGTGGGCTGGGCCCTCCTGCATCAATGAGCAATTAAGAAAATGCCTCATAGACATGGCCACAGACAATCCTATGGATGAAATTCCTCAACTGAGGGTCCCTTTTCCCAGGTGACTCTAGTTTGTGGCAAGTTGACAAACCTAGGGCAGGTACCTCCCTGGAAGAGGGACTTACACATTTGCTGTTTGGAATTCCACTGTTTCTTCCATATATAATACAAACTTTTTCCTAGGCTTGTTAATTATGTTTTTTGCTTTGTTTCTTTTTATATAAGTATGTGTGTATTGAGAGATGGTTTTGCCATGTATTCCAGGTTTACTTGAACTCATGATCCTTCTGCCTCAGCCTTCCAGGTACTGGGATTGCAGATGCACACTCCCTGCGGGCCCAGCTAGTGTCATCCTTTTTAATTGGCTGCTACGTATATCTACTGTTTGCCTTTATTCTGCCCCCCTTCCCCATCGTATTTACATTACTTACACCTTCATCTCCCATTCCTAAAATTTTTGTGCAGTTCCCCGATGAAATTATTTCCTTGAAATAAATTCTCAGGTGATAGTGCTATTGAAAAGGGTGAGTCCATTTTAAATTTTGATCTATTTATGAAAGTGTATTCTCAGTCAAGCCGGGACAGATTTATATTCTCCCTGCCTGTAAAAAAAAGCATGTACTTCCCCCACACTTTGGGGGAAGTCCTAAATGTCAACATCAGGCTTCAGTGACTGCAAAGGATTCAGCAAGGACTCTGCCCTGTAGCCCCATGCAAATCAACCTGGCCACATAACCACACTGTGGCTAACACCCTTTTGTTACAAACTACAGTTGAAGACTCTTGCAGAGCTGAAAGCTGAAAATAAGTATAAAAATCTCCCAAACTAGCTCACTAATCTGATAGAAGGAAACTATGGTTCAGAGAGGCCAGTGGTCTTCCCTGTGGTGGCTTATAGGGAACTCCAGTCACTTGTCCTCTAGGGTGTGTCACCCCCTCTTTTCTGTGGCACCATGGGTGTCTTGCTACGCTTCTGAGCTTCTCTCTCCCACAGTGCACTGGGATTTTTTTTTTTTTTCCACACAAAGATAGGATCAAGTTTCTACTCCCTGGGCGGTTGAGGTTGGTTTTATGCTCCCTGGCAACAGCTTTTGTTCCTGTCAGCACCCCTAATTGTTCTTTGGGTGCCTCCGCACCCCCTTCACCTGGAGACTGACAGCACTGTCACTGTCCTCCCTCCTGCCTTTCTGAGCGTTCCTTCCGTGACCCTGCCTGCCCCTTCCCTGTGGCTTTGGGAACGTACCTCCAAAGGTCACTCTTAACCTCTCTGCTATCACCTCTTCCCAATCAGTCCTGACCTGTGAAGGCTCCACTGTTCTTCAGAACCCCAGACCTGCATTTCCAACTCTCTGCCCTAGCACAGGGCTTCGCAGCTCTCACTGTTCTTTGCTGGGGAGCCGTCTTCTGCTTTATAGGGTGTGGAGCAGCCTCTCTGGCCTTTGCCTACTAGGTGCCAATGGCATCCATAAATATCCCCAGATATTGCAGATATCCTGGGGTGGAGGAGAGAATCACTCCGGCCTGAGAACCACTGCATTAACTGGACTCATGATCAAGACACCTGCTCTTTCCTTTTCTTTGTCCTAGCTTAAACAGAGTGGAAGAGATTCCCTACAGTACTAGCAGGACCTTAGCGTGACAAAAGGCAAGGCGATGGAAGGAAAGGAACCAGAATCACAGAATTGAGAGCTGGAAGGGGACTTTCCTGAGCACAAACATGCTAAGTTTGCATGGCCCTTTTGCCCTCTGAGCTCACCAATCTCAGCTCCTCCTCAGCGTAGCATTCCAAGAGATGTGCTTGTTGATAAGAGATGATGTGATAGGTGAACCTTTGTGTCACTCATCTCCACTCAGCCCAAAACCTTCTTGCTTCCCTATATGGTTCTGGGGCAGAGGTTAGTGGTGGAAGAGCCCCCTTCAACATGGCTTTTAGCTGTGATCATTAAAGACCAGCGGTGCAGAGTATATGAGAACAGGTCAGGTAAATAGCTGCTGTTCAGTAAATGGTGGCAGAAGAGACCATTCCAGCAAGGACTGTCTTTAGGTGGTAGGAACATGTGTGACACTCTCATGTTCTGTTGTGTTCCTTCATTTTTGAATCGACCTTTGGACATATTTGCTACTTTATAAGAAACAAACTCATGAATATTTCTCTTTAATTCAGAAAGAAAGCCATGAATATTTTCCCCTAATTAAAAAGGGAAAAAGCCCTTGCCTCACTCCATGTGTCTTTCCTTCCCAGGTCTGACCTACAGGAAACATGGCAACCAGCGCCGTTCCCAGTGACAACCTTCCTACATATAAACTGGTGGTGGTGGGAGATGGAGGTGTGGGGAAAAGTGCCCTCACCATCCAGTTTTTCCAGAAGATCTTTGTGCCTGACTATGACCCCACCATCGAAGACTCCTACCTGAAACATACAGAGATTGACAATCAATGGGCCATCTTGGATGGTGAGACCTGGGTGGCAGCCCTGCATGGGGTGGGTGGGGTGTTAGATGGGGAGGGTCAGAGAAATTTGACAGAATTCAGTGGCACAAGATGGTTTCCTGCTTGCCATTATTATGGGATGGTTGATATAAGGCAATATGTAGCATCCAAGGGGAATTCTCAACAAGGAAGGTCTTAGCCGGGTGTTTAAAGACCTTAGTGATAACAAAAGTGGATGTTGGAAGAGGCAAGGCTAGAATCCTGCCCACTTGGCCATGTCGTATTGGTTATTGCTGGCTTGATCAGAAGCTCTCTTTGACAGTTATAGATGTTTGCAGCTAATAAAAGGGAGGAACAGATCTTTTCTTTTTTAGATTTATTAAGGAAAATAGAGACTAACTCCCAAGGGTAAGAAGGGGCTTAAGGGAGGACTACCTGAAAGCAAATTCTTTCTTTAAAAAATTTTACATACATGAGTGTTTTGCCTGCAGAAATGTAAGTGCACCATGTGCATGCAGTGCCCACGGAGTCCAGAAGAGGGCATCAGATCCCTTGAAACTGGAGTTACAGCAGGTTATTAACTGCCATGTAGGTGCTGGCAGTAACTGAGCCCAGGTCCTCTGCAAGAGCAGCCAGTGCTCTTAACCAATGAGCCATCTCTCCAGCCCCTCAGTAGTTTTTGTTTGTTTGTTTGTTTGTTTGTTTTGAGACAGGGTCTCCCTGTAGCCCGAGCTGGCCTAGAACTTACTATGTAGATTAGGCTGGACTTGAACTCACAGAGATCCACCTGCCTTTGCCTCCTGAGTGCTGGGACTAAAGGTGTGGGCTACCACACCCAGCTAACCCCTCAGTAATTTAACATACCCTCCAGCTATTGCTGAGTTTGGAGACCACTGCACTAGATATTTACTGATTGTTATTTTCTATTGCATGAATCTGTCTCCTAAACAAAGGCCCATTAATCATAGAACATTAGTCTAGCAGGAGTGCTTTGAAAGCTGCTGACTTACAAATTCTCTTTCAGATATGTGGTTTGCAAATATTTTCCCAGTCTGTGTCTTGTTTTCTCTTCCCTTAACAGTTTCTTTCAAAGAGCAGAACTTTTTATTTTGATCAAGTCTAGTTTGTTAGTGTTCTTTTTTTTTTTTTCTTTGTCTTTTTGAGACAGGGTCTCCCTGTAGCCCCCAGCTGTCCTGGAACTCACTATGTAGACCAGGCTGGCCTTGAACTCACAGAGATCTTCCTGCCTTTGCCTCCCGAGTGCTGGGATTAAAGGGGTGCACCACCACGCCCGGCTTTGTTAGTGTTCTTTTACAGATTGTATTTTTGGTATTTTGTCTAAGAAATCTTTGCTTAGCCCAGGGTCACAACAATTTTTTCTTATGTTTTCTTCTAAAAGTTTAATTTGGTTTTGTCATTTAGGTTTTTTAAATTAATTCATTCATTTTTTAAAAATTAAAAAAAATTTATGTGTGTATTTAACCCGCATGTATGTAAATACATATGTGCATGCAATGCCTGTGGAGGCAAGAAAGGGGTATCAGGACCTCGGGAACTGAAGTTAGGGACAGTTGTTGCCCGCGGTGTGGGTGCTGGGAGTCGAACCTGGGTCCTCTGCAAGAGCAGTCAGTGCTCTTAACTGCCGAGCCACCTATCCAGCCACCTGTTTGCCTGTTTTAAGACAAATTACACACTGTGTTAATAAATGTAGCTTTATAGTAAATCTTGAAGTCAGGTGGTGATAAATCTTTAATTTTGTTCTTTCTGAAAGTTGTTTTGCTAGTCTAAGCCATGAGTATTTTTTAGACTCAGTTAAAATTTTCCATTTTGTTTGGGATTTTGTTGAACGTGTAGATCTTCGTTTGAAGGATTTTTTTGTTTGATATTGAACCCAGGGCCTTTACACATGCTTTGCAAGTGCTCTACTACCAAACCACATTCCCAGCCTTGAGAACTGATAACTTAGTTAACAGAGCTGAGCCTTTAACCCATGAACACAGTATCTCTTTCTATTTAATTAGGTCTTCAATCTCTCTCATCAGTTGTAGTTTTGAATGCATATGTCTTTTATACATATTTTGTCAGATTTATACCTATACCTGCATTGATATTATTATATCATTTTTATTTGGGTTTCAGCTGTCTGCTCCTAGCGTATGTAAATAGAACTGATTTCTAATTTCTTAAGTTAGCATATGAAGTAATGGGTTTCATTATGGTATTTTAATACATATATATCATTATATTTTATTCCAATTCATTACCCTCCCCCACTGTCTTTCCTTGTGTCTTCTGAACCCCCAATATAATACTGCTGAGACTTTTATTATTTATTATTTATTTATTTATTATTTATTTTTGAGACAGGGTCTCTCTGTAGCCCCATCTGGCTTGAAACTTGCTATGTAGACCAGGTTGGTCTTGAACTCATAGAGCTCCACCTTCCCTTGCCTTGCAGTACTGTAATTAAAAGCATGTGCCACCATAACTATAAATTAGCTGACTGTGATAGGCACTCAGTTTTCATCTCTATTCTTCCATATTTTGTGACTTTCAAAGAATGTGTTCAAGTCATCGAAGTTACCAAATTTATTGATATGATATTCTTATCTCTCTAACAGCCGACTCTATAGTGACATCATCTCTCTTATTCCTTATTTTGGCAATTTGTGCCTTTTTTTTTCCTTTTCCTGATCAGGCAGGATAGAGTTTTGTAAGCACTGATTTTCTTGAAGAGACAGCCCTTTTATCCATTGATTTTTCTCATTTAGGTCCATTGATTTTTCACTCTTATAAATACTATTTCTTCTTGTCTGCTTACTTTGTGTTTAAGTTTCTCTTCTTGTTCTCATTTCTTTGGAGGGCCAAGATGTAGCTGTTTTTCCCAGGCTAGTCTCCAACTCCTAGGCTGAAATGATCCTCTACCTCAGCCTTCTGAGTAGCCGAGACTGCAGGGTCCACCACGCCAAGCTAATGCCACTGATTTGAATTTTTAAAACTTTTCTTAAGATATTCATTTGGAGCTACAGATTTCTCTGAATCACCTCCTTTATCTGTATCTCATAAACAGTGTTTTCATTTCCATTCAGTTCAAATTCTAATTGCTTTTAATTTCTTCTTTGACCCATAGGTTATTTAGAAATATATTATTTAGTTTTCAACTATTTGGGAATTTTCCAGAGATCTCTCTATTCTTGATATCTAATTCTGCAGTGTCAGGGGGCATATTGTACCTTATTTTAAGTCTTTAAAATTTCTTGAGTCTTGTCCTAGTGCCCAGAATATGGACTGTCTTTATGATTGTTCTGTGTGCACAAGAAAGGAACTCATCTGCGTCATTGGGTGGAGTATCTGTGAGTGCTTCTCAGATCACTCTGACTGATAAGGTTCAAGCCATCTGTATCTTCAAGGATTTTCTGAATACTCGCTCTGTCACTTATTAAAAGAGGAGTCAGAGTGTAATTGTGGATTTACTTTTTTTTTCCCCCCCTTTCCATGATACCAGTTTTGGCCTTGTGTATTTTAACACTCAGTTGTTAAATGCGTAAATGTTCAGGACTGATCTATCCCCTTGACAACCAGTCCTTCAATTATATTAAAGTAGCTTTCATGATTCCCATGTTTTCTCTCCCTGTACTGCAGCTGGAAACTCTAATGGCCTGGAGCTGAGCGTCTGTGTTCCATCTCTCAGGCATCACTGTCCTTTGTTGCCTCATGTCTGGTATCTTTTCTTTTCTTTTCTTTTTTTTTAACAGTCTTAATTCACTTTATTTTTCTCATATAAAAACCCTAGGTAGTAGCCACAGCTGGAGCCTGGGTTCTCTGCACAGAGACCCTGGTCTTAGAGATGGCATCAACTTGGTGAAGTTGCTCAGGGTGGCAGTGCAGCCCCTGGCTAATGTGTAGCAGTCATCAATACCAGCCATCATCAGTAGCTTCTTGGGCACAGGAGCGTAGACAATGCCAGTGCCTCTGGGAACAGGGATGAGGCGCCCCAGCACAGAGCCACAACGGCCTGTCACCTTGCAGGGGCGGTATGGGGCTTGCCAATCTTGTTTCCCCAGTAGCCTCTCCGAACAGGGACAATGGAAAGCTTGGCCACGATGCTGGCCCCTCGAATTGCAGTGGCTACCTCCTTGGAGCACTTAACACCCAGACCAACATGACTGTTGTAGTCCCCAGTGGTGACAGAAGCCTTGAACCTGGTCCGCTGGCCAGCCCCGGTCTGCTTCTGCACTGGCATGATCTTTAAAACTTCATCCTTAATAGATGCTCCCAGGAAAAAGTCAATAATCTCGGATTCCTTAATGGGCAGGGAGAAGAGGTAGATCTCCTCCAGGGACTTGATCTTTAAATCTGTGACCAGGCGGCCCAGCTTGGAGACTGGAATCCACTCCTCGTCTTCAGCTTTGCCTCCATGAGCCCCATGGCCCCGACCGCGGCCCCGTAGACCGCTCGCTACCAACCAAATCCTCCACGGAAGCCGCTGGGGTCTCCCAAGCCTGGGCCTCCGGGTCCTCCGGTCCCCACGCTGCACCGCCGTTATCCACCATACGCTGTTTCCCGAGGAAGAAGCATGTCTGGTGTCTTGAAAACCATTGTTTCATCTACTTTGTGCACTTTTTTGAGACAGAGTCTCACTGTGTAGTAGCCTTGGCTGGCCTGGGGCTTGCTGCTTAGACCAGGCTAGCTTCTAACTCATAGAGATCTGCCAGTCTTTGCCTCCTGAGTGCTCGGATTAAAGGTGTATGTCATCATGCACAGCCTAATTTTGTGTGCTTTTGGTTGTCAGGTGGAAATGTAAATCTAGCCTGTTACTTTATTTTGGCCAAAAGCAGATCAAGTCATCATGTTAAAGAAATATAGCTTTGAGAAACTTCTAAAAATATTCACTATACACATTAAGGGATGAATGTTATGGTATGAGATACATATCTTGGTTAAAAAACACAAGCCTTTAGGGCCCTGCCTGGAGGCTGGGACTTCGATTAATTCCACCAGGTGTTAAGCGCCCCCCAATTAG